TTTTTTTTTTTTTACTTCTGTGGCTATCATTTCAGGAAGTTCCAGTGTTGGACTTCCAATTTCATCTATCTCATTGTGTTCCAGGCTTGTCCTGGGTGTAATGGGAGTCTGTGGTTACATTTGGCTTCTGTGTCTTGTCATTTTCTATTTTCTCTTTTCTATTTTACCTTTTCTATGTTGATGCTTGCCAACTTCTTACGATAGATAGCTTTATCACTAGTATTGAGGCTTCTCTAGGAGATGTCTGTTCTTCAGGGATGTCTAGATGTAAGTGGTTCTTTAAAGCTATCCCTAGAACCTACCTTCCCAATTTGTAAATGATGGAAAGTTACTATATAGCTCAGCACCCAAGACTTTGGTACTGGGCTATGGTGATGATTATGATGCCATCAATCACAGTGTTATCATACAGGGAAGAAAAACTGATTATAACATGTATGACATTCTGGCTAAAGCAGTACAGTTAGTAATAACAATAGTTTCAAGTACAGCTTAACCTGCTCTGCAGTGGAATCTACTTGAGGGAAGCACTGGCCTTTGGGCCGGACCCTAGCCACGCAGGCACCCGGGAAGCTGTGCGGAGAACTATCATGGTATAGAGAAGCAATCACACAATTGGCCCGCCATGCGCCACCTGAAGCAGCCTGCCCATGGATGTGAGTGAATCATTCTGACATGGAGATACCCCTAGGAATACATGCCACACGACAGGTCACTCTTGCTCCTGCCACTGAGAACCAGAAAGGTCCAGAGTCAGCGAAGGAACAGCTGCTGAACAAGGACTCAGAGAACATGAGAATACAGACTATGCCTGAAGACTCAGAGGTGTAGTCGACCGGGGTCATGAGAGCTGTTCAGAAGTTGGAAACCATGAGGACTTTGCTCAATACCTGGGGAGAACCCCTGGAAGCCATTCTTCCCCTGACAGTACAGGCTGCGGTGGAGGAGCGCATGGAGCTCCGGAGAGGTCTGCACTGAGATTCCTGCTGCCTGTGCTGAGGGTTGGAGAGAAGACACTAAGTGGTTGTGGGGTCCCCATGTGCTGGGAGGCTGGAGAGGAAAAGCTACAAAAAATGGCTTTCACCCCAGATGGCTCACTTGAGAGGTAGGAATTGCCTCCTCAGTATTCTATAGCCGTGATGAGGAGGAGACCAAGGAGAGAAAACAAGGAGACCGAGAAAAAGCAGCTGCTTTTGCTGTACCACTAAGGGAAACAGACCCAAAGTCTGTTTGTCAGAAGAATTTGACAGCTATATTCATTTGCTACCACTGTTAAAAGCCAGGCCACCTCAAGAGGAACTGCCCTAAGAGGCCCCCTGGGCCATGCCCTGAATGTAAAGGTGACCACTGGAGATCGGTCTGCCTTCTGAAGCAGAGGCCCCAGAGCTTAGACCCATCCTACCAGTTAGTCTAACAGGAATGAGGGGGCCCAGGTCATACTCTGCCTTCTCCCCTCTGGCCAGACTGTCATCTCCATGAAGGAGCCCCAGGTAATCACGACTATAGAGGAAAAAGAAAACAGCCTGTTGCTAGACACAGATGCAAGTCTCTCGGTCCTTCTTTTCAATCCTGGCCTTCCAGCAGTCACACCTCAGTGAAAGGAGTCACTGGTGAGGAGGTAATACGCTATTTTTCACAACCCTTAGGCTGTAACTACTTGTTAAATCTCTCTTGTGTATCTCTGTCTTCCTGAGAAGCCACTTTGAAGATACCACCATGTATTACAGCAGACACTGATATTTTCCTACTAATCTGTCCATAACTCTGTAATGTTTGTATTGCTCCTATGCTATTTCATAAATGGGTGTATGTTTATTACTATGTCTTTCCTACAACAACCATTGAGAATAGTCAATGAATATTCAATTGGTCACTCATGTATAGCTCTGTTTATTTTCTTTAGAAACCACTTTGAAGATACCAAGATATAGTACAACAACCATTGATAATAACCTATCACTTTTGTCTGTAACTCACTATTATTTGTCTATTTGTTTTCCTGAGAAACTATCTTGTAGATAACAATATGTAAAAGAACAACCATTGATAATTTCCTACCACTTTGTAATTCAGTAAGCCCCCACTATTACTATGTTATCCTTCTTTTACTCTTTAAAATAATTTTAAAAAAAAAACAAGAAAAAAAAAGAAATCAAATGCAAAGGAGTAATCAGAAAGAGAAGAGACAATGTTTACTCACTGGAAAGTTTAAATTCAAGAAGTAGTTGAGGAAAGAAAGAGAATCAACAGAAGAAAATGAAAAAGAAAGGCAAGAAACCTAAGTAGTATAAAAAAAAAAAGAGAAAGAAAAGAAGAAAGAAAACTAAAGAAGGCCAGAGAAAGAGGGGAGAAAGAAACCAAAACAAAAATGACCACAAGGTACAAGACAAAACAAGATGGGAACCAGACAGGAAAGGGATGGCCAATCAGACAAACAGGGAAGAATAAAAGTAGTAAAATACCTCTGGTGTTTACAGTTCTGTAACAGTGTTCATGTCAGGTCCCAGAAACATGCTGTGTACTCCAGCCAAGTTTGCCATGGGAATTGTGCTGGGTATGGAGCTGATCTCGGCCTCTGGGTGTGGGGGCTGGGACTGGTCTTCTGTTGGTGGAGTTCTCCAGAGCCCAACTGCTGGCTCAGCGCTGCTGCTTCAGACACTTCCACATTGCTGGTCTCATGGATTACTCCACCTTCCAAAGCCATGTGTGCTCCCACGTGCCCTAGGCCCAGCTGTCCTGGATCTCAGGATTCTGGCTGGTCTTCCCACCAAAGGTGTGCAAGTCCAGATTTTACATTAAATTTTGTCCAACAAATTACCACAGGAGAACTGATCTGTAGTTTTTCCACTGCCTATGGATTTGCCTGAATATCGCTCTTGGAGCCAGAGGATAGCCTAAGAGATGGAAACCAGCAGCTGAGAAGGAGTCAAGCAGGTCACCACAATCCACACAGAGTTGCAGGACTGAGGCATGCAGACAGCCATGCACACAGATGGGTGAGACCACAGACTTCACCCTGGGCCAAACCATCTATGGTTGAAATTAATGCCCCTAAATATCAATTCTATTACACAGGATCCACTGATGGACACATTAGATGAATGTAGCCAGGAAGTCAACTAGCAAGTTTCATTGCTGCATTGGACAATGGTTGTCTCTTTGTCTCTGGTGATTCTGGAAATAATTATTCATTCTGCAATTTGTTTTATGGTTTACCAACAGCATGCAAGATCATGTGGGCTCTTCATTACATAACTAAATAACCAACTCATCTGTTAAAGTGTAGGCTTCAACAACCCTGGAACAACCGGGCGTCCCTGTGTAGAAACACAAATCTAGACTCTGTCTGCCCTGAGCACAGGGAGAATCTGGGCTGTGGAATAGGGAGATGGTGAGAAGGGAGTGAAGCTGGGTGAGTGTGCTCTGGGGAGGCTCCAGGGGCTCAGGACAGAGACTGATGAGGGGCCAGGTGAGTCCACATCCACCAGGGCCATACTCAGGGTTGAGTCCAGGGCCCAGAGGTGAGGGGCCTGGCTCTGTCCACACATCACCTGTTGTAGGTGGGGTGCTGGGCTGACCTACAGATCAGGTTGGGATGTGGGGAGGGAGGTGCTGCCATCCATGGGAAGAGGAATGAGCATAGCAGACAGGGGCGGGACACCGGGTCAGGAGTACCTGAGCCGGGTGGCCACGTGGGTAAAGCCAGCCCTCAGTCTCCATCAATAATTTCTACATCATGTTTTACATTTCTTGTAGTCAACTCTCTCTTTTTTACTTTTTCTTCTTAAAAAAATATCTCAGTCTTTTCAGCTGAGGGTTTCCCTCATTGTTCAGGTGCTTTGAAAATCATTTTCCACCCTGAGATCTGTGAAATATTCTTACCTATTTTCTCATACTTTTACACGGAGGTGTCTGGCCCTTCCCTAATTTTATTCTGGGGCTGGAGAACAGGAGATGCGCCATGCCCACTGTCACTGTAGGGTGAACCTGCCCCTGCCCTCCAGGATGTCCAATTCAGGACCACCCAGGAGCCCACACCAAGAATCAGGTCCGCATGGGACAGCACTGCAGGTCAAGATGGGAGTTGAGATGATGCTCTCTGAGCTCTCAACCACTTGGCTGACCAATCAGTGGCTACTCAGAGAAAGATGGATACTTCCTGCACCAGGAAGCATCAGGCAGAAGGCTACCTTCCTGCCTAAGGCTGCAGGAAGTTGGCTCTCACTGGGATTTGCGGTTTCTAGGGTTATCGTTATCATGCAGGATTCAGGGCCTCTCTCTCCTCACTGTGGCCCCTGTGTACCTGTAGAACAAACCACAGGAGGCCAGAAAGTGAACAAGGACGTAGGGAGGCCAGCGCTGCCTTTTTTGGGAGTTTAGGAAGGAAGTCCTGGTAACCCCACCCCAGCCCTGACACTGAGGCCAGCCTCCTCAAAGTGGGCCCCCTCCCCGTCTGACTTGAAGTCTGCCCAGTCCTGTCCTCCCCAGTGGTTACCGAATGCTTCTGCCCTGGACTCAGCCTTGCACAAAGCCACCCAAAGCGATAGCTCATCAGGTGGGCCTCCACGTGGCCCCTATGCCTGCCCGATGCCCTACTCTTTGAGGTCTGGCGGCTGCTGGGTCCAGCGTCTCCCCAGCTTCCCCAGCAGCTGCTCCTCTTAGCAGAGCTCTTGAGGACCCAACTGAAGGCCCACATGCACACAGATCTCAGAGAGGAAACCAAAGCTCTTTATTTGGAGTCACACAGGGTTGGGGTGTAGAAGGGCTGTAGCAGGAGGGACGGTCAGGATAAGAAGGGTGGTCCAGGTAAGATGGGTCCAAGCGGGAGGGGTGGTCCACGGGGGAAAGGGAGCCCTGGAGATGAAGATCCGGGTGACTGCTATGGTAAGAGGAGAGGCTGAGTCCTCTCTCATTGGAGCGGCGGGCAGGCTGGGTTTCAGCGGGTAAGGGCCAATGCCCTTCAGTGATCTTCCTTCCCCAGGCTGGCACGCAGTGGCTTCTGAGCAGCTTTGGGCTCCAAGGGTAACCCGGCTCCTCCGTGGTGAGCCTATCTCTGAGCATCCGTGGTGGGTGTATGGCATAGGAAATGGGGCTGGGTGGAGACCAGGAAAGGGCAGAATGGTGGGGCTGAGCTGACTTTCACAAAGCAAAGGTCTTAATAAATGTCCTGAGAATTACACCCAAGGTCAGCTCCTGAGGTGACCATTTAGTTCTTCCTGGTCCAAGGGCAGATGGCAGGAAGCGAGATCATTTGAACCCCCAAACTCCAGAACCCAGGACTCTGGGCTTTTCCTCCCAGGGGATCACTTACTCTAGTCACTCTCAGGACACAGCTTTCTGCAGAAACCAAGAAAAAACCGACTGTGAGAAGGTGCCCTGAACAAGGGTGCAGACCCCACCATACCCAAAGCTCACCCTTCTCATGACCAAGACCCAAAGGGGGGCTCTGCTGTCCGTGTGAGAAGACAGAGGGGAAACGGAGGGACACAGAGAGACACAAGGATAAGAGAACAAAGGTGACACAGGGAGGCTTAGAAGACACGGAGGGCTCGTGGGAAGCAGAGGGGACTCTGGTGACGTTGGGGCAGAGCCACCCCCTCACCCTTCTGCTCTGGGATGACCATGTTGTCTTGTGGGAGTCCCTTGCGCTTCATGAATTTCTTAAACTCTTCCAGAGCCTCCAGGTTTTCCTCAGGGGTCCTCCCTGTGGGAGAGGGGCCAGGTGAGCAGAGGGGAGATGGCTGCACAGCTCTGTGGGGATCTGACAGCCCGAGGACGCAGCCAGGGCCCAGCACCAGGGCTTCACCCTGAAAGCAGCCAGGGCAAGAGCAAAGGGCAAACCTAAGACTGTACGAGAAGCCACAGGGAAGGGACACCCTGAGGCACTGAGAGACCCTGCAGACCTGCGTGGCCCCCAAGCAGGCCTGCTGGGTCACATCTCTGACCTGGAAGTGCTTCATGTCCCAGAAGCACTGGGCTGTGCTCCCCAAAGTGCCCCGGACACTCCCCCTTCAAATTGACCCAGGAAGATGACAGAGACCCAGGACTCTGCACTTTCTAGCTCCAGGGGCGGGAACCCCCTCCCGGCCTCTCAGGTCTATGAACAGCAAGTCTGATCCTGTCCCTGACAGTCCCCACCCTGCCAACCCCTGCCCCACCGAAGAGCTTGAATCCTGCCCAGGCAGCATTCTGAGACCAGTGCCCAGAGGCCCACACAGGTGGGTCCTCAGTCCCCTCGTTCCAGGGAGTTCCTGAAGCTGATCCCTTCAGCTTCTGGAGCTGGAGACTTCCAGAGAGTCGGGTGTCCAAGGGCCTCACCCAAGAGCTTTTCCATGGCAAAAGGCTTCCCATGGCGCTGGTCTTCACAATAGAAGATGTAGTGGTCCCTCACGGGCAGCTCCTCTACAGATATGAGCTTCTTGCCCTGAACTGTGAACAGAAAATAGCGCTTTAGTGTCTTCATTCCCAGGAAGGACATTTGAGACCCCACACTGAGGAACAACCTGGAACATTTCAGTACTCCACCAGGAGGCCCAACCAGCCTGAACCCAGGCCTTCCTGGGTCTCCATCACTGGGCAGCCTCCTTCCCTATGCTACAGATTTTGAAGGGAGAGCTCAGCCCAGCCCCAAGCAGCTATCCTGCCCTGTTTCCTGGATCCGTAACACTTGGTTTCCCCATGAATCAACAGCTAGGACCACCCAGAGAGAAGTGTGGCCCAGCTAGTCCCTGCTGTGGACAAGCCCCCGTATGTGATGTCAGGGACTCAAGACCTCCAGTTAGGGAGAGGGCAGCCCTCTCGGGAGGGGGCCAGGCCAGGGACCCTTCCTTGCTGGAAGCTATTATGACACAGCCCAGGCGCAGGGCAGAGCGGGGCAGGACTCACAAGTGCTATATTTGCCAGGTTCCTTGGTTTTCTGCATCACAATTTTCTTTTCATGGCAGTGACCCTTCTTCCTAGGAAACAGGAGGCACTCAGGCAGCTGCTCTCAGGACCTCCCTGAGCACAATTCAGCTCACTCACGCATAATTCCTGACCAGGTCACCCCACATGTGCCACCTCACCCCTGCCTGCCTGATACGATGCTGCCTGGGGCTTCCAATGTGGGTGAGGGAGGGGAAAGCAAACCGACTGAGGGCACCCACACTGGGCACCACTCACATGAAGGTGACCTTGGCCTCCCAGTTCCCACCTTCCAGAGCCGTCACCGTCATGGGAGACGCTTTCCAGGGCTTCTTCCTTTCTGGGGGTGTCTTGTTGGCCACCACGGCCTTCACGTGCCAGGTCCCTGCCAACTGGAGCAGCTCCTGTTCCACAGCCCCGACACGAGGGTCTGCAGCCCCCAGAGAAGGGCTGGGATCCTGCGTGTCCCCAGCCCTTGCTCCGTAGGTCAGACCCCAAGCACTCAGGGCCTCCGGACCCCAACTGAGGCCGAGAGCATCTGTCCCCAAGGATCCCCTGGGCCCAGAGATGAGGCCCCAGGCCTGGGTGAGTCCTCACTCCAGAGGGTCCCGCCCTGCAAGGACTTTTCTATCAGAGTGTCACTTTCACAGGACCCCTCACCCAAGCCTGCTCCCCATTCCGGGGCTGTTCCCTAGGTGGGCCGTGTGTGCTGGCAAAACCAAAGAACCCCCCAATCCGACCACTCCAGGCTGGGAGTCCTGGGCCTGCACCCAGCCTTAACGAAACTTCCTAAAAGAGGGCTTCCGCTGCCACCTGCTGCCCAGTGCTTGGAGCCCTTTGACCCTTGCCCACTGCCTCGCCCAGCCTCACATTCTGCTGCTCTGGCTGAAAGGACAGGGGACCCTGGGTCTGCGGCAAAGCCACCAGACCAAGCAACAAGATGGTCAGCAGCAGGGTCTTCATCTCCAGGCTCGGTGCTCTCGGCTGAGGCGGTTGCCCTGGGTGTCCGGATGAGGTTGCACTGGCTTCTCACAGGACACTCTTTATGTCCCCGATGGCCAGTGTCCATATACACTTGGCACTGACCACAGCCCTCCCACACAGCCCTCATGGCCAAATCCGCATCCATCATGGAGGGGAAATATTGTTATTTTTGGGACACGGTGAATAATATTTGAGTGCCACCTAGAAATAAAAGACCCATAATGCCACCCAGTGTTCACCCCGCCCCGGGGTCCTGCTCACAGAGCAGCCCACCTAGGGAGGATGTATCAGTCAGTGCACAAGGTGGGAGCGCATGTCCGAGCTGTGAGCCGGGTAGAGAGCCCTGACTTCCTCACACGCCCTCCCCGGCCCACCTTCAGCCCCCCATGACTGGCCTGCGGTCTAGGGAAGCTGCTGAGATACAGGCTGAGCTCCTAAAGCCCAGGTGGCCCCACAAACCCCCAGAGCCCAGTTCTCTCTCCCCTAGGAGCCACTACCATTGCCCTTGCTCAGCTGGGACACCCCAGCAGAGGACTTACTGGGGTTGGGGGCACCGCTTCATGGCTGAGGGTCATTTCAAATATCACCTCCTCAAAATTGCCCTGCAGCCTCCGCAGGGGAACAAGATAACTGCCCAGCCTCGCTTTGCTCTGGCACCGAGGCCAGCATGCTCTTCCCAGAGCACATCTTGTTTGTTTTTTCCGATCTGTGCCCCTCACTCCTCTTCTCAGCTGTAATTTAAGCTCCCAGAGCGCACGAGCTTGTCTTACATAGTCCATAGTTTATTGTAGCTGCAAAAAGAGCTCTAGCCACATGTCAGGGGCTATGAATATCTGTCCCCTAGAGGAACAAGCCAAGTTACTTATCCACTGTGAGCTAGGACTCCAGTAAGAAGAATTAGACCTTCTGTTGCTGTTTTCATCTCAGGACCTGCTGAGACACCGGGTGAAGTCCCTGGGATGCTCCAGCACGACTGAGGCCCCATGGATGTGGCTTTCCTCCCTACTCTGGGGTGTTTCGGGGCCAGATTCCATCTCAGCCCGTCGTGAACCCCCCTTGTGCAATTGCCTTAGCTTCACTCCGGCAGACCCTCCTGGTTTCCCACGCGCTTTCCCCTCACTGGTCAGCTTTGATCACCCGTGTGCACCCGAGACAGCCACGTCCCCTGGATATATGGCACACGAGGCACAAGGAGGTTATGTTCCTGCCTAGGTCAGAGTGCATGGCTGTCTCCCTGGGGTGCCTTCTCTGGTGAGCCCAGACCCAGCTGACCAAGAAGTCTGCCTTCTCCTCCTGACTCTACTACAGGTCCTGGGCCTGAGACCCAGCTAACTCAGGCTCTGAGGCAGATACTGGGGCCTCATAAAAGCATCTTTGTTCCTCTCTAGGCTGAGATTATGTAGCTCCCAATGGATCACCAAATCATACTAATAAGCATACTCTATAACCCCTGGGGATTGTCTTGAAGGTGTGGGCATGATGCAGTATTTCACCCCAGCTTGGAAGGTGCTTCTGAGCAGAAACCCTGCCGTCCCAGGGATGGGGAGGGCAAGACCCAGGCTGTCTAAGCACAGAAATTACTGAGCAGGCTGGAATCTCCGTGTTGGGTGGCAAGGGATTTTTCAGCCCTAATCTTGTTAACAGTACACGAGACACCTTGCCTTTCATTTATTGTGTATGGGTTATTGAAATAAACACCACGTGACCTTGGTGCATATAATCTGATGCTTGAAAAATATGGGAACAACATGCACAGATGGTTTACACAAGGGCGCCATCACAGATCCTATGTTTAATGCCACTGGAGCTCTTCTGGTGCCTTATAGTCACCACTTGTCCTGCCCCATGTCCCAGTGGGCTGATTCTACCAAGTTCTCTGTGCTTTTCCTCAACACTTGTTATGCTCAGCTGGTGACGGACATCTCTGGAAGTGGTGAGGCATGGTTGGGGTCAGTCCTTGGTGGGCAGGAGGTGAGGGGAGCTCAGGCTCTACAGCTGGTCGATGGTGTTATGAGATAATACAGCAGGTCAGGATCACCAAATGGTAGACAGCTGTCAGGAGACACTAGAGCAGGAGCTGGTGCCACTCATATAGACACTTTTGGGAAATAGGGCAGGAGAGAAGAGGTTTCTGCCCCGCATTGCTCCACAGCCTGAGGCATTTCTGTGCAAGCCGCCTTCCTTTCCAGCGGTGGTGCTTGTTGGGCTGTCCCTACTTCACAGCTCTGGCTCCCACCACTTCTGAAAATACAACAAATAAAGATTTGTAAAATGGGGCATAGTGGCGCATGCCTGTGATTCCAGCACTCTGGGAGGCTGAGGCAAGTGGATCACAAGTTCAAGTCCAGCCTGGGAAACTTAGTGACTTAGCAAGAGCCTATCTTAAATTTAAAAACAATAAAAGAGGAGGGGATATAGCTCATGTGAAGGTCATGGGTTCAATCCCCAGTGCTGCAAAAGAGAAAAATAAAAATAATAAGAAACAAAGATTTGTGATACACAGCTAAATTAGGGCCAAGAGAGAATTCACACCACTAAGTACATATATTAGAAAAAGATAAAGTTCAAAATCAATATTTTAGCTCCAACTTCAAGAACCTAGAAAATGTAGTATAAAACCAAATACAATAAAAGATTAAGTCATCCAAGCAGAAATCAATTCAATTGAAAATGGAAAAACAGTATAGAAGGACAATGAAATGAAGGACCCATCCTTTGAAATGGTTAATAAAATCACTCTATCAATCTTGAAAGATTGACCAAAAAAAGAGAAATAATACACAAATTTCCAAAGTATGGAATAAAACAGATGCATTACTGCAGCCTCTGCAGGTACAAAAGGATAAAAAGGAAATACTATAGGCGGGTCTGCTCACATCAATGTAACAACATAGGTGAAACAACCAATTTCTGAAGAAATGCACAACTCTAATACACAATAATAACTTTCAGCCAGGCGTGGTAGCAAATGCCTGTAATAGCTGCCTGCTGGGAGGCAGAGGAGGGAGGGTGGCAAGTTCAAGTCCAGCATGGGCGATTTAGTGACTCAGTGAAGTAGGTCTTGTCCCAAAATCTTTTTTTTTTTTTTTTTTTTTTGGTTTTTCTCCGGTACCGGGAACCGAACTCACGACCTTGCGCTTGCCAGGCAGGTGCTTTTGCCACTGAGCTAAATCCCCAGCCCCTCCAAAATCTTTTAAAAGAAATTTTAACTGGAAATGTAACTCAGTGTGAAGATTCTGGCTTCCATCTTCAGTATTACAAATAAAATAAAACAGATAACTTTAATACTCCTGTGGTTAAGGAACTTAAAATTTTAATCTAAAAAGACCTTCCGAAAAGAATTCTTCATGTCCACACAGTTTCACTTTAAAGCTCTACTAGAAGGGGAAAAATTCCCAGCCCAAACCAGGCAGACAATACATAAAAAAGAAGGCTGCAGAATGATATCACTCATGAATATAGATGTGAAAATTCTTCATATACCATGACCAGAAGGGATTCATTCCAGGGATGGAAAGCAGGTTTGATATTGAAAAAGATCAACCCTATTAATAAATTAAGAAAAAAATCACACAATCATGTTGACTGGTAAAAAGCACTTGACAAAATTTAATGTCGATTGAGAATAATTCTCAGAAAAATAACAGAAACTTTATACTTGATGGAATGCATCTACCATATCTACAGGTAATATTATCCTAATGGTGAAAGACTGAATGCTTTCAGTGTAATATCAGAAGTAAGACAAAGAAGTTCACTCTCACAACTTACATTTAACATGATACAAGAAATTCTAGCCAGTGCAATATGGATGAAAAAGGAGAAAGAAGAAGAAATAACATAAAAATTAGAAAAAATAAAACTGTCTCTTTCTGTATATGATGTGTTGCCTATATAAAAATCTCAAGGAATCAAAAAATAAAGCATCATAAAATTAAACCCAAAATAAACCCTTCTGAGTTCAACAAGGCTGCAGAATGCAAGATAAATACACAAAATTCAAAAACTAACTCAGAAAGGATCTTCACCTTGAATGTAAAACATAAAACTATAAAATAGAGAAAATCTTCAGGATATGAAACTAGGTCAGGCTGGGTGTGGTGGCACATGCCTATAATTCGAGCACTTGGGAGGCTGAGGCAGGAGGATTGTCATGAGTTCAAGGCCAGCCTGCACTACATAGTGAGAACCTGCCTCAAAAGAAGGAAAGAAAGAGAGAAAGGGAGGAAGAAAGATCAGGAGAGCTTAGATTTGTCAACAAAAGTATAATTCATAAAAGAAAAAAATAGATAAAAAGGTCTTCATCAAATAGAAACTTGTTGAAGTCTATTAAGAGAATGAAAAGGCAAACTAATGAACTTGGGAAGATATTTGCAAACCAAATGATAAAATACTAGTTTTTAGACTTTAAAAAGAACTATCAAAACTCAATAGCTAAAAGAATTAGAAAATTACAAAGCCATGAAGGGGCGCTTCACCAAAGAGCATAGGCTGAGGAAAAGAAACAAATCAAAAGCTATAGAGCATCAGTAGTCATTTGTTCAGCATAAACAGTCACTAGTCAATAGAAATGTAAATGAAACCCCAAAGACAGATCACTAACCACCTATCCAAAATAAAACGTAGTGGCTACACAAAGGTCTGGTGAGGATGCATGGAAATTGGGTGAACTGTATATGGCTGATGAAAATTAAACATTTATGTCCTCCACAAAATGACTCGGTGGGCATATAAAAAATCTGAACAGCAAACAATCATACAACTCAGCAACTGCACCCTGGCACATTTATTTCCAAAAGTGAAAATGAATGTTTGCGCAAAACCCACACACATTTCAGTAGGTTTGTACATGATAGTGCCACACTAGAAAAAAGAGAGCTTCTCCATCAGGTGAATGGTTAGACAAACTGTGGTCCAGCCCTATTGTGGAACACTATTGAGCAATAGACAGTAATTAATTATTAACAAATGCAAAGCTTGGATAAATCTCCAGAGAATTATGCAAAGAGGGGAT